AGGGATCGAGCCGGCAATCTGGGCATGTGCCCTTGACTGGAATTGAACCTGGGACCCTTCAGTCCACAAGCTGACACTCTATCCACTGATCCAAACCACCTAGAGCTCCAACTCCCAATTCTTACCCAAACACCCATGTCCTCACAGCCAAGCTGGGGAAAAGCTCAGTATCACCTGCAAGGAAATTTCTTTTCTTCCGGGTTTCCCCCACACAGTTGAATGGCCCAGTAGTAACAATGGCACAAGTGGCATTCACACTCTGTGTCTCAGGATCTATTTTGTTCATCAGTTTATTTTGTTCATTAGATTCCACATATGAGTGAGATCATGTGATACTTGTCTTTCTCTGACTGGCTTATTTCGCTCAACATAATACTCTCCAGTTCCATCCATGCTATTGAAAATGGTAAGAGGTCTTTCTTTTTTATTGCCATGTAGTATTCCATGGTGTAAATGTACCACATTTTGGGGTTTTTTTATCCACTCATCTACTGATGGGCTCTTGGGCTGTTTCCAGATCTTAGCTATTATAGATTGTGCTGCTATGAACATAAGGGTGCATACATTCTTTCTGATTGCTGTTTTGGGTTTCTTAGAATATATTCTTAGAAGTGGATCACTGAGTCAAATGGCAGTTCCATATTTAACTTTTCTGAGAAAACTCCATATTGTTTTCCATAATGCTGTGCCAGTCTGCATTTTCACCAGCAGTGTACTAGGGTTCTCTTTTCTCCACATCCTTGCCAGCACTTGTCATTTGTTGATTTATTGATAGTAGCCATTCTGACAGGTGTGTGGTGATACCTCATTGTTGTTTTGATTTGCATCTCTCAGATGATTAGTGACTTTAAGCATTTTTCATATGCCTCTTGGCCATCTATATGCACACTTTGGAGAAGTGTCTATTAGGTCTTTTGCCCATTTTTTAATTGGATTGTTTGTCTTCCTTTTGTTAAGTTGTATGAGTTCCTTATTTATTTTGGATATTGATCCTTTATCAGATGTATCATTGGCAAATATGTTCTCCTCTACAGTGGGCTCAATTTTCATTTGGTCGATGGTTTCTTTTGCTACACAGAAGCTTTTTATTTTGGTAGTCCCATTTGTTTATTTTCTTCTTAGTTACCTTTGCCCTACGAGATGTATCCAAAAACATATTGCTACAAGAGATGTCTGAAATTTTGCCTCTTATTGTTTCTTCCAGGATTTTTATGGCTTCATGGCTTACATTTAAGTCTCTTTTTATCCATTTTGAGTTTATTCTTGTTTGTGGTGTAATTTGGTTGTATAGTTTCATTTTTTGCATGTACCTGTCCAATTTTCCCAACACCATTTATTAAAAGGACTGTCTTGATTTAATTGTATTAATATTAATTGAGCATAATGGCTTGTGCCAATTTCTGTAGTCTCTATTCTGTTCCATTGATCTATATGCCTGTTCTTGTGACAGTCAAAGCCACTGTATTCAAAACCGCCACTGTTTTTGAATACAGTGGCTTTGTAGTATAACTTGATGTCTGGTATTTTGATCCCTCCAGCTTTGTTCTTTCTCAAAATTGCTGCAGCTATTTGGGGTCCTTTTTGGTTCCACATAAATTTTTGCAGTATTTGTTCTAGGTCTGTGAATTATGCCATTGGTATTTTAATAGGGTTTGCACTGAATCTACAGATTGCTTTGGGGGGTATGGACATTATATTGATGTTAATTCCACCAATCCATGAACACAGTATGTTCTTCCAATTGTTTATATCTTCTTCTTTCTCTTTTTTCAGTGTCCCATACTTTCTGAGTACAAATCTTTTACCTCCTTGGTTAACATATTCCTAAGTATCTAACTTTTTATTTTTTGCAATGGTAAATGGGATTGTTACTTTAGTTTCTCTTTCTGAAAATTCATTATTGGTGTATAACAATACCATAGATTTCTGAGTGTTAATTTTGTATCCTGCTACATTGCCAAATGTGTTTTTTTAAATCTGGTAGTTTTTGTGGGGTCTCTAGGGTTTTTATGTTCAATATCATATCATCTGCAAATAATGAGTTGTACTTCCTTCTTTCCAATTTGGATACCTTTTGTTTTTTCTTCTTGTCTAATCATTCTGGTTAGGACTCCCAGTACTTTGTTGAATAAGATTGGTCAAAGGGAACATCCCTGTCTTTTTCCTCTTCTTAGGGGAAATGTTTTAGTTTTTGCCTATTGAGTATGATGTTCGCTGTAGGTTTGTCATATATGGATTTTATTATGTTGAGGTATGCCCTCTATTCCCACTTTGCTGAGAGTTTTTATCAGAAATGGGTGTTGGAGCCCTAACTGGTTTGGCTAAGTAGATACAGCGTTGGCCTTTAGTCTAAAAGGTCCCAGGTTCGATTCCAGTCAAGGGCGTGTACCTTGGTTGTGGCCACATACCCAGTAGGGGGTGTACAGGAGGCAGCTGATCAATGTTTCTCTCTCATCAATGTTTCTAACTCTCTATCCCTCTCCCTTCCTCTCTGTAAAAAAAAAATCAATAAAATATATTTTTTTTAAAAAAAAGAAAAAGAAAAAGTAATGGGTGTTGGATGTAGAATGCTTTTTCTGCATCTATTGATATGATCATGTGATTTTTGTCTTTCAATTTATTTATGTGATGTATCACATTTATTGATTTGCGAATTTTACCAGCCTTCCATCAGTGATATAAATCCTACTTGGTCATGGTGTATGAACTTTTAAAAAAAATGGTGGGTCCCATTTTCTAATATTTTGCTGAGGATTTTAGCATTTATGCTTATCAGGGTTATTAGGCTGTAATTCTCTTTTTAGTGTAGTATCTTGATCTGGTTTTGGAATTAGGATAATGCTGGCTTCGTAAAAAGAGCTTGGAAATGTTCCTTCTCTTGTATTTTTTGGAATAGTTTGAGGAGTATAGGTGTTATTTCTTCTTGTAATGTTTGGTCAAACTCCCTGGAAAAGCTATCCAGATAGGGCTTTTGTTTGCTGGAAGATTTTTTATTACTACTTCAATTTTATCAGTTGTTATTAGCGTATTTTGATCTTCTGATTCTTCCTGATTCAGTTTGGAAAGATTGTATTTTTCTAGGAATTTTTCCATTTCATCCACATTGTCCAGCTTGTTGGTATATAGTTGTTCATAGCATTTGCTTACAATCCTTTGTATTTCTGTGGTGTCAGTTTTACTTCACCTCTTTCATTTCTGATTTTATTTATTTTGGTCCTCTCTCTTTGTTTCTTGATGAGTCTCATTAAAGGTTCATCAATCTTGTTTATTTTTTCAAAGAACCAGGACTTAGTTTCTTTTATCTCTTGCATCGTCTTTTTAGTCTCTCTGTCATTTATTTCTGCTGTAAACTTTATTATTTCTTTCCTTTTAGTTACTTTGGGCTTTCATTGTTGTTCTCTTTCTAATTCTTTAAGTTGTATGAATAAATATTTTATTTATTATTACTTTTCCGTGTGTGTGTGTGTGTGTGTGTTGAGGTAGGCCTGTAATGCTATGAACTTCCCTCTCAGGACTGCTTTTGCAGTGTCCCAGAGATTTGGGGTTTTGTGTGTTCATTTTCATTTGTTTCCAGGAAGTTTTTGATTTCTTTCTTGATCTCATTGGTAATTTCTTCATTGTTTAATAACAGTATGGAGTTTCCTCAAAAAACTAAATATGGAATTCCCATTTGACCCAGTGATCCCACTTCTAGGAATATATCCCAAGAAACTAGAAAAACCAATTAGACAGGATATATGCACCCCTATTTCATAGCAGCACAATTCACCATAGCTAAGATTTGGAAACAGCCTAAGTGCCCATCAAACAGATGAGTGCATTAAAAAACTGTGGTACATCTACACAATAGAATACTACGCAGCGGTAAAAAAGAAGGCATTCTTACCATTTGCAACAGCATGGATGGAACTGGAGAGCATTATGCTAAGGGAAATAAGCCAGTCAGAGAAAGATAAATATCACATGATCTCACTCATTTGTGGAATATAATGAACAACATAAACTGATGAACAAAAACAGATCCAGAGACACATCAATCAGGCTGTCAAACCTCAGAGGGAAAGTAGGGGAGGGTGGGGGTATGGGGGAGAGATCAACCAAAGGACTTATATGCAAGCATACAGGCCTAACCAATGGACACAGACAACAGGGGGGTGAGGGCATGAGTGTGGGGGAGGGGGTAATGTGGGGATAAGGACACATATGCAATAACTTAATCAATAAAAAAATTTAAAAACAAAATGACAACAGCCAACACAACAATAGTCATATGGTGTGAATGCCCTTTAGGAACCATAAATAAATAGGTCATATAATAGAATTGCATTTTATTGGTCACGGTGCATAATATAGTTGTGTCTGATTGTTTAATCATATATACAAGTACAGGCACCTGATATTTTTCTAAGTCACTTTGGAACAAAAAGGGTAGTTAATTACTTTTTTTGCAAAAAAAAATCAAAAGTATACCTATTTTTTGTGAGATATACAAAAATATATTTTTTAGTGTGCCACAGAATTTTAGTAGTTTATGTGCCATGAAGAAGTAAAAGGTTGAAAATCACTGCTCTAAAAACAGGAGACACATCTCCACTATGTTTGTCCATAGGACAGAAAAGCACCTAAACAGACACATGCAAAAGAAATTACCCTGATGGACTTAGTAGCATGGAGATGAGGCACTGGGGGTTCTCTCACTGGGGACTCAAGTTTCTGGGCTCTAGTACCTCCACTGGTCCATACCACATTGCACAGGCCCCACTTTGTACCCTTGGGTTCCTGCTCAGGGCTGGAGTCTGCTTAGGGTCTGCTCTGAGTCATCAGCTGTGGGAACTGATGTGGTCACTACATACTGTTCACACAACCACACAGAGACCATCATCAGGCAGGAGGCCTGGGGGTGGGGATGCTTCATAGAAAGCCTTCTGGGATGAAGCTCTACAAAACCAGAGGGGGACTCAGGTCACAGAGCCCACCCACACTTCCTTCCTCTTCTGGGCGTGAAAACAGAGCACAGAGAAACACCAGCAGTTCCAACCTGAGCAGCCCTCCTGGGAAGATGCAGCCACCCCTGCTCGTGCTCCTGCTGGCCTTTTTCCTGCTCCCCTCGGCAGAGGCAGGTGAGTGACCATCCCCATCCTCACAGGCTCAACCCATCCACATTAGCACAGACCTCCTGGCCCTTCTGCACATCCCAGATCCAGCTCTCCACCAGGAATGCTCTGAACCCCAGCTCCCATCCCATCTCAGACCCACACACATGATGCTGGATGAGCTACAGGCAGAAATGACAGGACAGAAGCCTATTCTCAAGAAAAGCCAGTGGGCACAATGCCCTCCCCAGGCCCTACCTGTGCCAGGTGGAGAGTGGAACTTCCTAGAAGTGCATGGCAGAGGCTGGGAAACTGCAGAGGGCAGAGCAGTCCTGGCTTCCATGCCTGTGATGAGACAGGGGCTGTCCTCAGGGTCTGCTTAGGAGAGAAGCCCAGAGCTCAGCAGACCCCACAGTTGGTGGTGTCACTGTCCCCAGAAGACTGCTGGTTCTTCTGCTCCATCTCAAGGCCCCTCAGTCCCTTTCTCCAGCTCTGCTTTTCTTCCCAGGCCTTCAGCAGGTCCTCTCCTTAAAGGATGACCCAGTGAGGTTGGCAACCCCAGTCTCCTCTGCTTTCCAGAATCCCACAGCACTGGCCTTACCAACCCAACTCCAGAGGCCCATTGGGGGCCAACATTTCAGGCAGTCAACAAACACTGGCAACTCCCCACCTGTCAGGCCCTGGGACAGCTCTGCAACACCTAGATCCCTAAACCTAAATCTTGGACACTGCAAAGTGCACTGCCTGGACATCACAGCACCTCAGAGGCTTCAGAAGCTCACCCAACACCAAGCAAAGTCAGGAGAGGAATTTTTAGGAACCTCCAGATCTTCTCTATAACTAAGACTATGTTCTCACCTGCAACTATGTGGCAGGCCAAGTCACAGACCCAGCCTGCTACTCTTCCCTTTTCCAGAAGAGAAAGTTGAGTCCCCCACTCCCCCGACACCCTCCCAGATCTATGCCACCCTAGGCTCCAAAGCCCC